AAGATTAACGAAAGTATATATATAAAAGCAAAAAGGCAATAGTGTGAAGTTGCATGCCTTGTCCTTCAAATTGATGTTTGCACCATGTGAAAGTAGAATTTCAGTTATTTTCAACCAACCCTTGCTAGCAGCATAATGAAGAGCAGTACGACCGCCATTATTTTTCAAATTAACATCAGCAGAAGTTTAAAAAATGTCGCTGTTGATATACGATGATATCACTTTGACAAGAAACTACAAACTTTGGCTAAATGGCTAATTTGAACAAATAGAAAGAAAAAAACTCCAAGTATACTCAAGATAGATCCTATAAAAACACCAGCAAAAATTGTTCAATAACATTCGTAAAACCAATTGAAGGCACAATTAGTAACACACTATCAGTTAATGAAAGCATAGCAATCCATAAGCAAAGGACATACACCAACGATTGATGGATCAATCATCAATGAATATATAAAACTCTATTCTTCATATCACAATTTACTCTGTGGAATATGATTCAAGAGTGATTCAATCAGAGATATCATTTTAATGTCAAAGACAAATACGTGGTGTCACCAATTCATCTTTATTAATGATTTTTTTCCCCCAAATTCATCCTACTTAATAATGTTTTTGTTGGAGTGATATGCATTGTTGGGTGCTTTCCTAATAGATAAGCTGTTGGGACTAGTGGTGAAAAGTTTTAGGCTCAAGTCTCATTGTCTGCATTGGTTTTCCATGTACATTCTATTTCTCTCTATGTTTGAATGATTGCATCTAGCCGTGCAAGTCAGGATTACACGTGAAGTAGGGTGTTAAAAAGCTTGATATGCATTGTTTGGTCCATTTCTTAACATCTCACAGTTTAAGCTTTTGAGACTAGTAGTCATCTAGCATTCTCACACCCTTGACCACCCTTAACCTCACAGAAATTGGCATATTGAAGGTACAGCACACTGCACAGAATCAGCAAGCTGCTTGAACACAAACACAAACAATTAGAAAGATAAAATGAAGAATTCACCCATTAAAGCAAGCTACACGAACAAACACACATTTTTTAAAGGTCTCCATGAAATAGAATCTCTCAAAACATACTTCCTCTAATCTAAAAGGAGTACATGTGCTAGTCTGCACCATTACATCATGAATGATACCATATTAGTTACAGTTAATATAAAATAACCTTGCCAACCTTAAAATTCTCACAAGAACTAAAGCAACAACTCTGAGCCAGTGCACTGGACTTGCAAGCAACCCATCACTCACATTCATGCAGTCTTCTTCTCCCAAATTTTTTTCTTTCTCTTGAAAGATATATTTGTTCCTATGACATACAACTAACTAGCTTGGACTTATTTTCAAGACCATCCAACACAAACTTGAAACAAATAATAGAAACTCTTTTGGAACTTGATAAAAATTCCTTACCGCTGCTGAGCAAAATCTCCACAATTTCTACATTCCCACTGCTAGCCGCGAATTGAAGTGGCGCCCAGCCCTCCTCATCCGCACTGTTTATACCAGTTACAGATGGATCTGCAGCTGATAGTATCTTCACAACCTAATCAATTCATTAATACAAAAAAAAAAAAGAAAAAGCATCAAGATCAAAATTTCAAAAACAGAATCGTACAATGCATGTCAACGAGAGCCATCAGATGAAAATTCGACTAAAAGGTTCGATTTTCCTACAAAATGATCCCCAAGTAATACAACTCAATTCCAGATGGCCTTAATCTACTAGACAAATTGAAAATTAAGACATAAATAGAACGCATGTTGCAATAGCTTAGGTTAACATAATTACATAAATAAAAATCCAATGAATTTTTTATGCATCAACGTTTTTGAGGATTTGATAACAATAATAATTACCTCTTTGTTTTCGCATATTACTGCACTCATTAGGGGAGTTTGACCTGCTTTATCAATAGCATCAACCTCAGCTCCTTCCTCAATTAAAAGTTCACACAACTCTGAGTTCCCTGTGCTTGCTGCACGATGCAAAGGGTGCATCCAACCTAAAAGAAATTAAAATCAACCAAATATTGAGGGAAGAGGTCCAAGACCTATGCTATCAGCAGCACAAAACAAGATTAACGAAAGTATATATATAAAAGCAAAAAGGCAATAGTGTGAAGTTGCATGCCTTGTCCTTCAAATTGATGTTTGCACCATGTGAAAGTAGAATTTCAGTTATTTTCAACCAACCCTTGCTAGCAGCATAATGAAGAGCAGTACGACCGCCATTATTTTTCAAATTAACATCAGCAGAAGTTTAAAAAATGTCGCTGTTGATATACGATGATATCACTTTGACAAGAAACTACAAACTTTGGCTAAATGGCTAATTTGAACAAATAGAAAGAAAAAAACTCCAAGAAAGGCTGTTTGATTATGCTATATCAGCCTGGTGGAATTTCATTTTCATGGGAATTCTGAAAGTAGAAGAATTCTACATCACAGGTAGAACGACGACAACAAAGAATGCAGCAGTAGTGTAACCTCGTCTAGTTACTACTTTGTTCACAAAGAAAAATGAAAACTTACAAAATAATATATCAGACATCACTTTTGATGGCCACAAACATGGGGGGATGCAAATTATAGGCAGAAGCCTGAATCAAAATAAAAATCTTCTCATTTCCTTTCTTCTGTGGAGCAGATAAAGCTTCAAGGTTAAGATCTCCAACACCCTTAGTTGGACCAATGCTGCAACGAGCAGTGTTGTGCGATTCAATAGCATCCTTTATTTTTTTAAACTGTTAAAAGTATTCAAAACCATCAAAAAGTTAGGTATCCTTTGAATGACATCTTCAAAAGAAAAAAAGAAAATTCATATTTCACATTATAAGCATGTCTCTCATGTCTATTAGTACAAGTCTTGTCAGTATCTTATAATTCACGACCCAATCCATTTAGAGGTAAATTGATATGTATCACTAATACATGCTGGGGCGGGAACCCATGAGCCAGTTGGGATTCCATAGGCTCTATGATTCCCCAAACCAGCTCCTGGCCCTACAGGCAGAACTGGCCAGGGGTAAATCTTATATTGAATGTATCTTAAGGTGCAAATATGATGCATATGATAAAATGATATGATACACAACACATGAATGGTTTAATTTTTGTTAGCATTGGTGCAAAAGATAAATGAACATTTAAGAAATTAATGTTGTTAAAATGTTCATTTTTTATCAAAATTAAAAAAATGTTAGAAAGGTTCATTAAGATGAATAAGAACTTCTTTCGTTTTTGTCAACTTGCTTCACAAATATCTACTTGTTTAGTATATTATGACATTGATAAGCCCACCCACGTCCACTGAAGCTTGAAGTTCTTGTAGTAGACAAAATATTTGAAACTAAAAAGTTGCAAACCAAAGAACGAAGACCTACCTAAAGTGTTAACAGTGAGAGAAATATATTATACAGCTCTTACAAGTGATAGACATTTGAGGTAAACTTTCTAAATAGTTCTATTTAGATTTAGAAATTCCTTTTTCTCTTTCTCTTTTCCTTTCATTTTCTTGTATATTGGATTAACTTCAAGCGAATTCTGTTTGAAAATACCAAATCAATTTTTATTTTTTATTTTTTTATGTTTTAGTTTTGGTTTTAAATACATAAAGAAACTAAAACTAACAGCATGAATTTCATGCCAATTGAGATGATCAATTTCTAGCAAATTATGTTAAAAAATACCATGAAATTACTTCTTTTTTTTTTTTTGGCAGGACAAAAACAAACTAAAACTAACAACATTAGCAGTAGCAGTAATATTACTTGAAAAAACTTTAAAAAATTAAAAGACCTTGGATTCATTATGGCAATGCCTGCAATCAAATATCTCATCACAACAAGGTGCTCTGATCTTGCATCTCCTTCTGTAATGTGAGCACCTGACAATTATATATACACAAATATATATTATCTCCAAATTTTAACCAAAAAAAAAAGGTGAGAGAATCTAAACAAACAAATGGGTTAGAAATTGTAAATATTTAAAAAAAATTAAAAAAGTAAAGAATTACCAAAAACTTCCAGATCCCATCTCCATCAAAGACTCATCTTCCGACCCATGAGAGGTGTTGCTCATCTGGGGATCCAAACCACTCTCCATTTCTGGGTACGCTCAAAATCTACATCAAACCCACATCATAAAAAGCCAAATTAAGATTAGATCTGCATATACAAATACCAGTATAAATCATATATAACACCCAAAATAATAATAATAATAAGGGAAAAAGAGATAAAAATCGGACCCAGAAAGTTGAGAAAAAAATGGGATTTTGTGGGAGAGGTGAGGAGTATGAGAGAAACGAAGAGTCCAAGGCTATTAGGTAGACTCCTTTTATGAGAGAAACGAAAGCTGAACCAGTCTTGCCGCCGATTGAAACCCTTCCCCTTCAACCCCAGTCTCTCTTCAAACCCTCTATCTTCTCTCTCTCAGATTAAGGTTTGCTCACTGTTTTGAAACAGTGTTGTGAAATTAAGGGCTCTACAAACCTAATAGGAAATGAAAAAAGGGAGGGGGAAGGCGGAGGGAAAAAAAGGGGGGAAATTAAGTTTGGCGAGCCATCGGGTGAGTCAGTGAAAAAAGAGAAAAATTTGTTTTTATTTTTATTTTAATAATTTTTTTTTATTTGGTAGAAGTAGATGTAATATTTTAATGAAAAATATTTTTTGTGAAAACAAAGTTAATTTTTTATGGTCAATGGAAAAAAAATTTTGTGACCTATTTTTTTTTTGTTATTAAAAACCAAGAGCTAATTTTTCGTGGTAGAGAAGAGGGAGCAGCAATAGTAGTGAAGGTGGTGGAGAAGAGGTGATGGTGGTGGTGATGGCAAAGGAGATTAGTGGTGAAGTTGTGGTAGTGGTAGAGAAGATTGAGTGACGGTGGTGGAGAAGAGGTAATAGATAGAGAGAGAAAGAGATATAGAGAAAGAGAGATAGAGACAGACAGATAGACAGACAGAAAAAGAGAGAGAAATAAGAGATGAGCGAGAAATAGACAAAAAGAGAGATAAAGGGAGCGAAAAGAGATGATCGAGAGAAAGACATAGAAAAAGAGAGAGACAGAGAGAGAAGAGAGATGAGCGAGAGAGACAGAGATAGAGAAAAGAGAGATGAGCGAAAGAGATAGAGAAAAAAGAGAGATAGAGAGAAAAGAGATGAGCGAAAGACAAAGAAAGAAAAAGAGAGAGACAAAGACAGACAGACAGACAGAGAAGAGTGATGAGTGAAAGAGAGACAGAAAGAGAGATAGAGAGTGGGACACAGAAAAAGTAACAAAGAAATAAGAGACATGAAAGAATGAAATTAGTGGTGAAGGTGGTGGATAAGAGGTGATAGTGGTGGTGGTGGTGATAGCGAATGAGATTAGTGGTGAAGTTGTGATAGTGGCAGAGGAGATAGAGTAGCGGTGGTGGATGAGAGGTAATGGTAGTAGTAATGGTGGTAGTGGAGTGGTAGTGATGGTGGTAGTAATGATAGTCGTAGAGGCGGAGTGGCAACAGCAGTAGTAGTTGTGGTAGTGGAATGTCATTTGCTGTAATGGTGAAGGTGGTAGAGAAGATGGGTAGTGGGAGAGAAATGAGTGAGAGACAGATAGAGAAGAGAAATAGAGACAGAAACAGAGTAATGAGCGATAGAAAGACAAAGTGGTCACCAAAAGTGCATTTTCTTGTAGTGTCTCGATAAATCGAAAGATAGCTTGGTAAATAGAAAAGAAGGGAGAGGGGAGTAAGCAAGGCGAACACAATGAAGGGGAGACAAATAGACAGGCAGATAGAGAGAAAAATACAGAGAGAAGAGTGATGAGTGAAAGAGAGTGAGAGACAAAGAGACAGAGAGAGAAAGAGAGAGAGACAGAAAAATAAAGAGAAAC